CAACAACCAAAAAGCCTCACATAGCTATACTAGTCTCAAACTCAATTATGCAAAAGCATTTAAAATAAAAATACTTTAACATGTCTTCCTACCTACTATCACTTTCATACAACTTCATACAAACACTTTTACTCCCCTAACTGTTTTAACTGTAACAACCCAGACTCACCAACACATTAGCTCACATGTTTACAACCTAATACTCTCAACTATATAATACTTTTATTCATATCTGAAGTACTTCATAAAACACTCCTTACACAATCAACTGCTACATATGATACTCTGACCAACATGCTCTACTCACATCCCGCATTTAATTCCTCTCAGTTTACCGACAACTTTTATCTTATTATGACTTTACAGGGCCTTATCCTAGTTTCACTAATACAAGCTCTTCAATCTGAGAAGGTATCATATAAAGAAGCATCTCAAATAATAATAAAAATCCTACTACACATAACAGACAGCATCTATGAGAAATATGGAAGCTCTATGCTGCCAAGCTAGCCTTATAGAAAAAACAGCACAAAGTACCTAATAAAAGGCTACCAACTTTGAAACAAACCAGAAAAACATATACTTATAGCTGCCTCTGCGGACAACCAGACCAACTTCATAAAGAAAATAATATATGCCCACCAGTTGAGTTAGCTAGAGCTCTATATAGGTTTCTTCCAGTAAACCCATTAACTCTATACTAACCTTGAAAAGCTAGATGAGTCTTGACCACTCTAGTAGGTTTAGGTCGCATATAAATTTTTATTGGTCTGAGCTTTTACTCTTGAATATAATTTATATGTATTTGTATTAGTACAAATTAAGTTGTATATAGTTTACTATGTAGCCTCTTATATAAATTACTCAATAAAGATATGAGCAAGACCTCATCTTTAATATTAAAAAAATAATAATAATAATAATAATTTGCAATAATTTTTTTTTTTTTTTAGATGACCTCATTGGCCTGGAGACTTTTTATTAGAGTATAGACAATGTTTTATAGTGTAATTACAACAATGGTATATCAAGCCACACGTACACTTTTGGTACCTAATTTAAGTGGTCCACCCAAAATGTTAGTGCTATGCTAAGAGTTCCACACTATCTGCCGTACCTGCACCCAACTATGGGAGTACCCATTTAAACTATCTGGTTCTAACTACCATTAGCAGCCCTCTAACCTGTGGGTATTACTCACCATTTATATGTGGATTTTGCATTTACCTGCTTTGGATTTTGCACCCTACCTTAGGACTTACAAACTTAAGCTAGTCTATCCTTGAGGTAAACCTAACAGAGCGGTACATGTTCTACACATATATTCACCTGCATGTTTCTATAACTTCTTTCTAATTATTACATATTGATCTGCTATTCCATATGTGTATCTTATGCCACCTTTTGGGGTGCTGCCATTCTACAAACTTTTCTCAAGCACCAACCTTTCTAATCAGGCGCCCATTATGTACTCCTTGCCCTTATTCGGTTCACAACAACCTGATTCCCGCATTTGAACTATTATCTTACCTGGATTCTTTATCGGTCCCTCCCTTACTTCTAGCCAGCAACCTGGAAGGGTCAGTCTGCTCAGGCTTTAGGTGCCTGAAGGACGCCCTCTTCTTGGTTCATACTTTCAGAGCGTATGCCCTTTTTTCTAGTGTGACAACCTGGCAGTTTGGCTGGTGTGTCCTCCGCCAGCGGACCTAGTTGCTTGGTTCTCCAATCTCGGGCCCGGTTCAAATTTAGCCCTCCTGTAGTACCGTTGAAGATCACTACTATCTCCAAATTCGGGACTTGCCAAATGGGTTTTCGGCAGTGTTAAGTTCGGACGTTGTTCCATTAAAATTGCAGAGACACAGACAGTCCCGGGCAATGCCCATATCCCAGACAATGTCCCATATCCATGATGGTGTCTAATATCACATTGTACACAAGGGCAAATCAAACAATCTGATTGGCTAGCAAAGCAGCCCTTATTGTAATTTTATTGTTCGGGATGTTAACATTTCTTGTAGACATGTCCAGGACGTCCCATCCCGGACTGTCTGTTGTCCATGTCCCTGTCCTAACCCAACACTGGTTTTCGGTTATGCTGGTTCCTCAGATTTATTATGCCAAAGCTTCCATTACTAGATGGTATGACTGAAGTTACAGATTAGATCCAACCAATAAGCATAGCTGTCAACCAAACACAGGCCTATTTTTCAAATATCATCGCTAGTGGGATTTGAACTCTAGACCTGCCACTTGGAGAGGGTAATGACATTTGCAATAATTTAAAAAAATTTAAAATAGATATAAATACTTCAAAACAGCAAACTATTTATAAACTAAAATAGTTACTAATGATTAATTAAATTTATTCATTGATAATTCACCAGTCACTTGGTGCAATGCAGTCAGAGGATTTACCAAATATAGATATCGGGTTCTAGAACAATCTATATACAAATTCTCAAATTTGATTGGCTCTTAATACTTTTATGTCACCATGTTCTGGGAATTTTTTTTTTACTTTAGGTTATTATTGGAAGTTTATGAATAAACTTGCAAATAGATAGTTTATAATGTCTAGTTTAAATAATCAAAAATAATTAACCCAAGTTGACTTTCATCAAAAAAGTAAATGAGACCTAAAATCTAAAGATTTGTTTTGTACAAGTCGAATTGTAAGAGCATAATATTACATGTTAAGTGTATCTTTCTATACTTTTATACTCTTTAAAATTTTTTTACAATAACAATAAAATGTTTAGTTTAATAATCTATTGTATTTTATTACAATAAACTTTCTTTATTAAAGTAAGCGAAGCCTAATCTAATTACACCAATATACAAAGAATTGAAAGTTTATTTTCTACTTAATCTGTGTTGCTAAGCAAAGTTGCTCTAGGTATAGAATATTTTTATATTTAAGTTGTTGTTTGAAAGTATTATATTTAGAGTGATTAGAAAAAAAGTTTTCAAGTTAAGTATTGCTATTATTTATAGTTTTGGGCCAGAAAAAGTTAGAATATGTATGTATAGGGATGTAAATGATTAAAAGTTATATAATTTTTAAAATAGTAGTGTGTTTATTAAAGTGTTGTAAAATGTAGAGTTGTATTAGTCTGGTCCAATCTGGTTTGGTTCTTAGCAGAACCAATTAGGGATGTGCTGTTTATTATGTAATTTTTTTTATTAGAAGCCCAAACCCTCTTCTCCTAGATAATTAAATTAGTAGCCAATTATAATGTTTATAGTAAATATATTGACATGATAAATTGCTAACTCTCCCCACTCCCCTAAAAAATTATGTAATAAATAGCACTTCCCTTATATAGTGGTACTAGTCTAGTCCAGTTCTTTAGTTCTAAGAATAGTATCTAGTAACACAAGCTGTAGTTAGTCAATTATACTATATATATATACTAAATATTGTTAACTATCTCACTATCTTTTTTGTAACAAAACTAATGTGACAGTATCTAAAATGCTAGTCTGAACAAAACTAAGAATAACTTATCTTAAAGCAAATATAAATTAAGTATTTTTTTAAGCTGCCTCTGATCTTTAGAAATTTGTAAGTAGTTAAACTTTTAGGATTTTGTATTTAACATTCTTAACGAATATATAAATGCATATTTATTTAAATTATATTAAATATATAGAAATACAAAGATATATTATATTTATTTCTTTTTACTAACAACTTTAACTATTGATCAACTATGAAATCAGTCTTTAAAAGCATAGCTTGAATTTATTAATTATATATATTTTTTAAATCTAACTCTTCAAGTATAAAACTGCTCTTGCTACTTTACCATCTAATCTATTTCTTGATAGAGTAATCATTTGTCTAGCAATTGAGAAGGCTTGTTCTAAGGCAACACTCATTGTCTAAATATATAAATAATCTCAAGTGATTAAGTTTAATTGAAGATATTCTCATTGTTTTTCTTGCTGCCAAGCTAGTAGATCTACTTTATTTTCTAATGGTAAAACTAAGTATCTTTCTAATTTATTACATATGCTATTTATATCTGGCAAAAAGAAACTTGAATCACTTTCTTGTTAGTAATTAATCAAGCATAACTGACAAAAATAATTTCATGTATTTAATAGCTCATTAGATGTTGTAGTTGGTTTTAGAAAAATACTCATTGAGATTTGAAACTAAGATGATTGCTTTGGCTTTATTGTCCAAGTTTTTAAATGCTATTAATTTTATACTTGATTAAGCAATGATGAAATCTGTAAGTTTTATCTAAAATTGGCTAGTAAGTATCCAACTTTCAATAAATTGCAGATACTATCTGATTTTGTAAAAAATTCTTATTATCCTTGTATTAAGACAAGTAATTCTAAATAGCAAAAAGCAAATCAAATATCACCATGTGTTGGATAACTTAAGGCAGAAAAAAGTTAAGTAGCATGTTTGATTGGCTCTAAAAGATTTAGTGTATAGACAGTTTCAAGATTTTTTAAGATAATTATACGATAAGATTATTATAAGATTGTTATAAGATTGTTATAAAATAATTTTAAGTATTATAAGATTATTATAAGATATAATTTTAATAATTTTATTACTATCTTTAAGATTATAATAAATTGATTGGAAAAAATTAGCATGTTTCTGTAAAGTAGTAAACATAATCAAACCCTCTTAAGAATGCATCTTCTAATTATGGAAATGTAGCTAAAATCGGGAATGATTTGAGAGTAAATAAAACTTATTAATGTATTTTTAGTATATATGTACGTATGTATATACATAATTTCAAATAAAGTTTATATAGATCTTAATATGGAATCAAAAATCGTGAAACTTAAAAAATTTTATAAATACAACCTGAATACATTAAAAAATTTTTGGGGCATGCTTAGAGCTATTATCGCAACTTAATGCAGCTTAACTTATATAGTGCATATAAGATAAGATAATATAAAATTTTTTCACAAAAATCTTCTGCTTTAGTTTAAAAGGAATTGTGGCAGATTACGAGAAAGATAGCAACCAATAAATAAGATGCCTATTGCAAATTATAAACTTCATTGGAAGTGATCTGCTGCATGCTGACAGAAAAATATAAGAGGGGGTTAATGCAAATTATATTAGTTGTGAATTATGCGTTATTGAAATATTGAAACTGAAATGAGATAGCTCCCAGAAATAGCAAATAATATTGTGTCGAGAGATTACTATAAGCAGTTGAGTTTGCGCGGCTTAGTGCTGGCCTGTGGTTTCCTGCCTGCATAATGCAAGCCGGCCGTTAATATGAACATGTGATGTAATATTGATATTTAGTTATAATTATGAAAATAGCAGGTTCATTTAGCTGTGATTTATGTGGCATTGAAACTGAAACGGGATAGCTCCCAATAATATTGTGCTGGGAGATAACCATAAGCATTTGTTTATATGGCTTAGCACTGGCCAGTAGTTTTCCGCCTGCATTTGCATGATGCAAGCCGGCTATAATATGATGAGTTTGTGCAGCCTAGTGCTAACCCACCTGTATAATGCAGGCTGGCCGTCAGTATGAGTATGTG